ATTTTATTACTTTAAAAAAACACCAACCCAAATTCCCACTCCCTCCCCTCCTCCCACTGCCCTCTCACTTCCTCCACAACCCCTCCCCTTCTCCCCTCCAATCCTAGGAGAGGGCAAGGCACCCTGCCCTGTGGAAGTCCAAGGCCTTCCCCACTACATCCAGGTTGATCAAGATATACATCATCCAAAGAGAATAGGATCCCAAAAAGCCAGTACATGCAGTAGAGATAAATCCCAGTGCCATTATCACTGGCCCCTCAGTCTGCCCCAACTGTCAACCACATTCAGAGGGACTAGTTTTATCCCATGCTCATTCACTCCCAGTCTAGTTGGAGTTGGTGAGCTCCCATTAGCTCAGGCAAATTGTCTCAGTGGGTGAGCCCCTCATGGTCTTGACTTCCTTGCTCATATTCTCACTCCTTTCACTCTTCAACTGGATCTTGGGAGCTCAGTCCAGTGCTCCGATGTGGGTCATTGCCTCTGTTCCCGTCTGTTGTTGGACGAAGGTTCTATGGTGATATTTAAGATAATCACCAGTCTGACTACAGGGCAAGGCCAGTTCAGGCACCTCTATTGCTTAGGATCTTAGCTGGGTCATCCTCGTGAATTCTTGGGAATTTTTCTAGAGCCAGGTTTCTTGCTAACCCCAAAATGGCTCCCTCAATCAAGATATCTCTTTCCTTGCTCTCATATCTGCCCTTCCTCCCTCAATTGCTTACTTTATTTTATGTGGTTACCCTGATAGGAAAGTAGATTTATTCTATTTTTCCTTTGAAAAACAGAAGAAAATAGGCATCGCTTTGCTTACTAGTCTTGGTTTAGTTTGGATTTTAACCATGGAAGGTATGTATCTAGTGCCAGCGTCAAAACTATTTTTGAAGGGCACACTCAAGTCAGGCTGATTTTTCATCAACCTGGTTCCTCCGGCCTGCCTCTTTGGCTCCTCCTAAAAGTAATCAACTTAAAATTAAATTTCTTTGCTACTTCGTTTCTTTTTGAAAACACAGGCATACCCACAGATATGTTTTCACATGGATCCACTTTGTTATTTATTTTGCCCTTTTATGAACAATCTGTATAATGTGGAGATATTTCTTATTTTTACACTGGACTTGACAGACGTCATACAATGCACAGGAGAGTCCCAGACACAGAGGATTAGGACTCAAAGCATCCAAACAGTGGAGGCTGCTGGGAGCCCTTCAGCTTGACTGCTGTCTCTCTAAGCATAACCTCCGGGGTTCTGATATTTTGGTGTACCCTCATTTGCTAACTAAGCCTTGTAGTTTCCTTTCTCTTTGTGTGATAAAGCACACACCAAAACCAACTTAGGAGAAGGATGGGGTTTGTTTGAATTACAGGTCTCAGTCTATCACTGAGAGAAGCAACAACAGGAACCCAAGGTTGGAGCCTAGAGTCAGGAGCTGAAGCAGAAACCGTGGCCATGTTTACTGGCTTGCTTGCTCAGCTTGCTACCTCGGACAACCCAGGCTCACTTGCACAGGGGTGGCACCACCCACGGTGGGTTAAGATCCTCTTGCCTCAACTGCTAATCAAGAAAATGCCCCACAGACTTGCATGCAGGGCAATCTGATGGAGGGAACTCCTCAGCTGAGGCAGCTTCTTCCCAGGTGATCCCAGCTTATGTCAGGTTGACAAAGAGCTAACCAGACCCCTCTTTTCACTCACTCGACTATTTCCAGTCGTGGACAGTCACAAACAGGGCTGCTGTGCTAATGAGATCTGTACACTGGTTATTTTACACTCCACTAGAGTATCCTGCGAATCCATTTCCTCAAGTGCAACTAGTGGGTCAGAAAGAGCATGTAAATATAACATTGCTAGATGCTGTCTTTCCACCAGCAACGTATGAGACAGCATTTGTGGTCAAACACTTTGCCCACAGAACATGTGGTCATGAGAATTTTACTAGTCTGATATGTAAGAAAACAATGTTTCACTGTTTTCCTATTATAAGTGTGGTTGAACAACACTTTAAATAGCTATTTTCACGTCTCTCGTCTGTTTATCTGTTTCATTTATTTTAAGAGTAGGTGAAATTAGTTATTATTTGGCAATAATGACAATGAGAAGACAGCACGTAAATTTCTGGAATTTGAGCTGAAGTGGCAAGAAGATGTGTGACTCTAGTTAGAAGATAAGACTGGAAATAAGCATTCTCCAGGCAACTCTGGGAAAGAAAGAGAAAACTACCTTCAAAAGTCAACTGAGGAGATATTTAAGGTTGGATGCAAAAATGATGAAATACAAAATTAATAAACAACAAAAAAAAAACAAAGCCTTTGAAAGTCCTGGCCAAAACAGACTAAAGGAATTATTGATAGTAAAAGGAGAAATTCCTAAATGAAAACACGAAACAAGGCCTAAGTGCTGCTTCTGAGAGAGGATCAAGGCGAACAGGGTTTGAAAACATCTCACAGAAAACAGAGGTCCGGGCAGACTCATCGAGAACGAAGAGTGACGGCATCAATGTAGAGCTGAGCATTGGAGATGGGAAACCATGAGAAAACACTACACAGAGCAGCATATGTACCGCGCATATCTACAATACCACACCGTGTGTACTATGCGTGTGTATAGCTCTGTAAAACTGGCAGACAATACATGGGATAGTTCTAGAAAATTGTTGATTATGAAATTTGATTTAGAAAGAGTAAAGCTTTAAATTTACTAGAAGAATTTGAAGAACTGTTAAAAAAAAAAAGCTAACCAAAAAACCTGCAATCCAAGATGAGCGCTTCTGGGAGAGCTGGGACAGAAGGCCTGCCTAGCCTATGGCTGAGCCCAGGAAGTGGGCCTCTGAGGACCACACGATTTAGGAAGATTAACTCAGATACAACTTTAATATTATTTACTTTTATGTGTATGTGTAGTTTGCCTCCGTGCATCATGTCTGTGGATCAAACAAGATGAGAAACTTGTTTTAGAAAGAACTTACCTTCCAATGTAGTCGCCACAAACCAGAACAGATGTGATTTCTCCAGATCTCTGGGAAAGGGAAAAGAGTCCACCTCCCACGGCTACCCCAGAACAAGACAGGAACCCCACGCCATGGCAAAACCTCACAAGTTTATATCCAATGGCACCACGGCTGGGGACTTGTAAATATGACACATCTCTGTCCACAGACAATGACAAGATCCAAACACGACCAAACCTGACAGTATCAGGAGCAGGAATGCCCACCTGGGTTTTCAAAAATTGCTTGAAAATGGAATCTATACTGATTAGCAAGGGGCTTGACTTGCAACCTCACAAGCTCAGTGCCGTGGGCCCACATCCCAGGGGCCCCATCCAGTTCCAGACCTGCTCAGGGTATCTGTCTTGGTGACCTGCCGGTCACAGTGGGCAAGTGAGGAGCTGCCTCCTTCCCGTGCCAGGAATTCCTTGACTTGCTCTTTGTCCTTTGCCAGTGTCTCAAAACCTCCCTTCCGTTCAATCTTCTCCTGAGTGGGGGGAGGGAGGAGGGGGCAGCAGAGGAAAAGGTTTAAAAGCAAAGAAAACAAGAAGGAGGAGGAAGTGACCAGCGCTCAGTGAACCTTCAAGTGTGAAAGGTTAATCCGGAAAGCACTTAGTAATCACCACCATGAGGTCAGACTGGGTGGCATCTCCTGTTGCCCACACGCTACCCCCTCCACCTCCCGCAGAGGCTCGCTTCCTGAGCCCAGGTGACCTTCTGAAATCCGCACCTCTGCCTCCGTGCCTGGCGTCAAGCCCTTCCTGTGCCACCGCCTCCACCAGCCTCCAGACGCTTCTGAGTTACCCCCAGCCTGTTTATGCACCCTAGAGACAGAAGCTTGGGTGTAGAGGACTGTGCCGCGTCTTCGGGCCCTGTCTGTGTGTACTGCAGCCAATTTCCGGTGTATTCTAATGTGAACCCAGGGGCCGGACAGTGCCTGGAACTCAGCGGCACACAATGTTCAGAACAGTGCTCATGGGTCTGTCCTGCCCAAGGGAACAGTGTTGAAAGTCATTTTATGTCTTAAGACGTTTGGCTGATGGCCAAATAACATATTACTTGTTGTTAGGTCCAAATGAAACACCGATTCCCCAAACTCCAAAAGGCAGTTAAGATATCCAGAAATGAGCTCAGCCTGGACCATATGAATATTTCTGGGGGTTAGATAAAAGCCAGCATCCTTCAGGAGCTTGTGAAGCCTAAGCCGGATCCTCTCCACCCAAAGGCGTCAAGTCCCTTATCAATGGCTAAGGGGACTAATGGCTGCCTGTGGTATGATTAGCTTGCCAAAGGGCATGCTGGCCTTCGGGCTCCCTCAGTGTCACAGGTGCCTGCTATACATTTCAGAGTCCATGCTAGTTAGGTTCCTCCCTTATCCCCTCCTCCTCTGCCCTAAACTTCCCCCATCTTCTTATGACCATCCCCCCCCCCCATTTTTAGATACGTATTTTCTCTTTGTCTCGCCCTCTCTCCTCCCCCCTCTCTTGTTCTGCTTCTGTCATGGCCAGGCCCAGTCTGCTGGTCATGGTCAGTCTACACCTTTAGCTCTCTGCTCTGACGTCTTCCAGATGCCTCTGGCTGTTCTCTCATATCTACAATTAAAACCTTCCCTTTAACCACACACACTCAGACGCCAAATTCTCAGCACAAAGGAGATTTTATTACCCTTGGGGGAAGGGGACTGCCTCTGAGCTAGGGGGCTATCTCTGGGCAGGGGCGGTGGTGGGGGGAGGCTGTCTCTGGGCCAGGGGGCTGCTTCTGGATCAGGCAAAGACAGCAGCAGGTGTCACTGCAGAACTGGTTTATTTATTTATTTATTTATTTATTTATTTATTTATTTATTTATTTATTTATTTATTTATTTATTTATTTATTTATTTATTTATTAAAGATTTCTGTCTCTTCCCCCCCCCCCCCCCCCCCTTTCCCCCCCCCCCCCCCCAATCAAGTCCCCCTCCCTCGTCAGCCCAAAAAGCAATCAGGGTTCTCTGCCCTGTGGGAAGTCCAAGGCACTAGAACTGGTTTTTAAGGAGAAAGAGAGAAGTCTGTGCTAGGGTGCGTCAGTAAGTCCTGATTGACCCTGTTAGCCAGTGTAGCCAAATTTTGATTGCTGTTTTGTTTGGTGTTTTGGTAGCTGGACGAGTTTTAGTTAGGCATAAGATAATGGCCAAAGGAACCAGACCCTGGTGGCTAGCTTTAAGAATGGAATCTAACAGTTTAGCAAGGCAGAGAGCAAGGGGGCCTTGATGCCCCATCTCCCATCAAATTCCTAGAGTACTCTATACCCAGACACAGACTTTTCTTTTATATACATTTTCTATGAAGGAACTGGCCCTTCCTTCCCCTGGTACTTTCTGGATTTTGCCGCATTTCACTGAAATTCTTAGGAAGACACCACTACCGCTGCTACCATCACCAATACAACCAGACACTGTTTGGGAGTGGCAGGAGCCATCCCTGGGATGCCGAAGAGGAAGAAACTTGTCTGGAAAACCATGTCTTTGTTGGCACTGAAGGGGGGCGGGTAGGAAGGGGCTCATTTGCTCCTGTGTTCCTGTCACCCCAAGGCCTGAGCCTGATTTGTCACCCTCCGCAGTTGAGTTCCCATGTTTATACAACCCAAACAAGCCTAGTTCCATGATGGCCGGTGCTCATCATGAGTGTCCCCCCTTCCTTACCTGACATTTAGTATTTGCCCCAGGGTCCTACCGTCAATCTGAACTTGGGACCTAACCTTTAGTGACAACCTCAGTCGGGAACCCTGGGGTTTCTCGTGGCGTTGGGGACCATCAGTGATGATGGCGATAGTGGGGAAGAACACAGCCCACTGTAGCAGGGTGCTGTGGACCGGGTCCTGTGATGAACACAGCACTCACTACTCTGACTTCTTGAGTCCTTATGGGACTGGTTTAGTTCTCTCCTGCTACCTTCAAACATGTCACAGAAATGTAGCAACTTAAAGCAGAGCATGTTTACAAGGCCCTAGCTTGTGTGACTCAGGTTTGGAAGCTGTAACTTCAACGGCTCCTGTTCTCAAGGGTTGTATAGGCAGAGTACTGCTTGAATGCCTTCTCCCAGAAACGGCTGCGAAAGGACTTGCTCCTCACTCTGTATGCTCGGGCCGGAGTGTCCTTCTATCTGGTTGATGAGCTAAGGGCCATTAGTGAAGGGTTCGTCAATGACTGTTGACCAAGAAGGTGCTCTAAGTTCTTTGCCAGATGCTAGTATGGCAACCTCATGCTTCAGAGCTAATCATCTACTAGCAAGATGGATGATTCCCTTCTTTTTAACGTAATCATGGAAACAGCTATCAGCTCTGCCTTATTCTACTCTCTAGAATCAAGTCACTAGGTCCAAGCTCACACTCAAATGGAAGGGATTACTTAGGTAGCATACAGGAGTCATCAGTGACCGTCATAGCAACCCGAACACCGACTGCAGAAAGAGGAAGGCAAAGGCTAGACTGCAAAGACAATTCCAGGCACAGAAGATGGACGTAGCTCAAGGTTAGAACTGAAGCTGACATATGTCGGGGTCAGCGGGTAGAAGGACGAAGTGCCTGCCATTGTGTTTGATCTGCAGCGTCTTCCTGTCTCCCCTAGCCCTAACACAAAGGCAGAACTAAGGAAATGGTGGGTACGAGGGGAAAGGATATTAGTAGAAATACCACAACGCTGCATAGATAAACACTGTCCCATTGGAAAAGCAGACGACAATGGAGGAGCAGAAAGCATCCAGGCAAAAGTGACCCAGAAGCCCTCGTGGGAAGAAGTCTTTTGGCCTGGATGTGCCAAGGTGTCAGTCAACAAAGGTATGAAAGGTAGGAAGTAAGGCGTGAAGTGGATCTAGAATAAGGGGTTTCAACCAGTCTGACAAGAGGAACAAAGCAAACTTCAGGTAGAGTACATTTCGGTAGCTCCGAGAATACTTCGAAGGCAATATTAAACAGAGCCAAGGTGTAGGGGAGAGGGTGAGGAACATGGACAGCATCTGCAAGGATAACTTTTACTTGATAGATCTTAGGGGGAAGGCTTCAGATATTTCAGGGCCTTTAATCTGCTAGTGTGCCATGGGAAGCTGTGTGGGGGACAAAGGGGGAAGTTGTAGTAGGAGACTTTCCCGACATGAACTTTCTTGGTAGACCCGATGGCTACAACATGCTGCAGCCTTGTAGGGAATGCTCTCAGATCCAAGGCCTGTGGATCCTTGTTGAGAGTGGGAGGAGACTTGGGTGAAACATTTATCATGAACCAGGAACGGTGGCCTGCGCTCAAGTCGTATAGAATAAATGCTAAGTACCTGTCAGCCAGTGGTGACAATGGGATGGTCACATCTGCACCACAACAATGGGAAGGATTCCAAAGTAGGATTTAAACAGCAGTTGTCTCCCCATCCTCTCTTACAGCCATCCCCACGTGCCCCCACATAGTCCCTTCTCCAGAATGTTCCTTTCCTAGAATTCTCTCCTGTCAACAGAAGGATCACTCCCTGGCCTGCTCCTGGGGGAATTTCCCAATATCAGAGCCCTGGGGCAATGAAGGGCAGAGTCACGGAGGTAGCAAGACAAAAACACCCAGAATCCCTGAGAAATGTCTTCTTAGTACAGAAAGAGAAAATGAAATCAGGAGAGGATTCCTTGCCAGCCAACAAAAGCAATAGTTTCCGGAGAGATGTTAACTTCTGCAGCTTTTGGCGGGGAATCCCCTACAGTGAGGGTTGAGAGACCAGTGTGCCTTTGTAATCCAAACTTTAGGGCCTCTCCTCCAGCACCTGGGAGCAGCTGAGCTCCTACCCACGCACCAGGAGCAAACTGTCTACGTGCAACCTCCCCTTCCTGGAGGACACCGTGTGATGATTCCAGGTTCCCCCTGGAGGATATTACAGTAACTTTCAGTGGTTAATGAATAGCTTCCTGGTGCCTGCTTCACTTAATTGTTCAAAGGCCATTTATTCCTGTGTATAAGACTGTGACCTAGCTAATGAGTGTACTTCCCCGAGAAAGCCTGGAAGCAGAGGAGTGGCAGGGTCAGACGGGCTCTGGAGAAGCAGGGATGCATAACAGGGGTAGTCTAATCCTCTGTTCCCTCTCCCTCCTCGCAGGCTTTCTGATGATCTGCTTGGGGGGCTACTTCATCTCCAACTCTGTCATCCACTCTCAGAGGAATCTGGTCATGGCCTATGTGCTTCTGCCTATGGGGTTTGCGATCCTCCTGAGTGGAATTTTCTGGGCCACTTACCGCCAAGCAAATGAAAACAAAGAGATGTTCAACCGCGTGCTGAGAGAGCACCTTGCATCCCAGGACCTGCCCCTGGCCACAGTCGACAGGTACGTGCTGAGCACCTGAGGGCATGAGAAGGGCTGGGCTGGGCTACACTGTGGGAGGGAATTGGAGTGATGTTTAATTGCACAGGGGATCCACTTACTATAGGGCCATTTGCTCTGGGGTCACAGTGCGGAAGAAGAAGGGCTGCTATTGGGGAAACCAATGAGGCAAGGGGGAATTTTCTTAGGGTAAGATCCTCACACCCCTAGTAAAAGCTCACATACAGCAAGCATATTAAGGGGCACAACGCCTAGGTTCTTCTTACATTTGGGGGATGATTCTAGTGAAAGGCAGATGATGACTAGGTGGTCCCTATAACCTGCTTACTGAGGTATAAAGAAAGTCCCAGACCAAATTCCCCCCACGATAAGTGAGCAAGCAGACATCAAGTCAGTCATCAACTCCTGTGACTAAGGGAAGTTCTAGGTGTTCTAGGTCCTTTTCAGTGTTCTGTTGTCACCTTGCATGAAGGATGCATTCCAAGCAAGATGATAACACGTCCATCAATGATGGAAAAACAAACGACAGCATGAACACATACACATTGCAATATTAATTGATCTAAGAGGGAACAAAATAATTAATATACGCCATAGGTGACTATACACTGAAAGTATTATGCCAGGTGATCCCCATTCATCAGAACGGTCAACCACTGGATCATTCCACTTGCACCAAGAAGCAACCACAGAGAGGAAATAGGACAGTGGTTCCTAGGCTTGGAGTGTGTGTGTAAGGGGAAGTGAAGAGTCACTATTTGATGAATATGGGGTTGTAGTTTGGAGAGATACAAGCGTTCAAGAGATGCTTTGTAGCAATATAAGATCACTAAATACCACTAACACCCTTACAAGTAATACACGCTAAGTTATTTGTATTTTTACCAAAACAGAAAAGTCAAGGATTTGGGTAACTTTGTGGTCAGTTCATTTAACACCAATCCTCTGATTCTTGTCCAAACACAAGAACACCATTCTTAAGGTATAGGAAGCAAGAATCCATACGTCCTTTTGTGCACTTCATGTAAGAGTAGGAAGTCCATAAAATGTCTTTGTTATCCCATGCACATTGAATAAGAGTCCTCTCACCGTGGCTGTGCATTGCTGATATCCATCACGCCACTCACATATTTCTAAGGTTAATCAGACTAACCAGGAAGTTCCTTGAGTTTAATAAAAAAATTAAGATAGCAGGAGCTATTTAGTAGGTGTTTCTGGAGTGATTGAGAGTATGTGTGCTGTTTTATTTTGATGTGTGTGTGTGTGTGTGTGTTTGTGTGTGTGTGCACGCACGTATCTACCTCTACAGTGTGAATTTCTGCTGATAGTAACTGAGTGTCTTTAGGATGCACCTGAAATTTACCAACACAGTCATATGTATTCTCTTGTCTGGAGTATTCAAAAGTAAATAAGGACCGTCTTGACACCCCTATCTCACTGCTCCTTCCTGCTGCATCCTGAGATGCTCAGGTCACAGAGTTAAACGGGGGGGGGGGGGGGGGGGGGGGATCTCTATCTCAAAAATCTGCACTCCAAATAGCAGAGGTATCCAAGCGAATGTCCCTCCGGTGTTGGAATTCATGGCAGCTGTCCTCCTGGAGTCTCTCACAAGGTTCCAGGGAAGGACTCACCTTTCTGTCCCCGTGACTCAGCCTTAGCTATCCCCAGGGAAGGTCGAGACTTACGTCGTACAGTAGACAGCTCCTTCAGCAATTTGGCCTTAGGCCTTGTGACATTTGGAAAGGAGCAGTGGCTCCAAATGGCAGAGTTTGTAGACCTTGTTCTGTTTTGGTTACTCACCATAAACACTCCGCTGGGCACCGGGTAGATTACCTCTATAAATACACAACTCATGCGTGCTTGCCCTGGCTCTCTTCCGCTCACCCCTCCTCCACCTTCATTCATGGCGGAGGAGCCAGACGTGTTTAGTAATTGCTTAGATGGGCAAGATGATGAACAGGTCCATCCACTGGGGTGAATGACCGTAACCATGGGCAGGCCAGCCTAGCAATGCTGCAGCTGAGCGCCTCCCAAAGCTCTAAGCTGAAGCCTCTTGAGGCCTGAGCATGTTTCCTGTATTTCCTCTGAAACCAGCTGCCAGGGCTTGGCCATGTGTCAGGAGAGAGTGGTGGCATCTCTTGGGTCAGGGACCTGCATGGAGTTGGTTTTCCTTCTTATTTTGCTGCTTGTGAGGGTCAGAGACCTTGAGAGCAAGGGAGTGGAGGACGAGGTGTGTTAAGGATTGAGTGCGGGCTAAAGAGAGGTTCATGGTCAAAGTCTCCGTGTTACGTAGGGACGTGCGCTGATAAGGACAGCGCACCGCATGGCTGCTTCCTAGACTCTTTGGGCAAACAAGGAAGAATAGCTTGGCATACCTGTTTCGAACAGGCGGACTGCTATGGCTGGAAGGGATCAATTCCACAGGAAGGGTGTGCAGTTTTTAGAAACTGGCAGTGTCAGGAAAGTACATCTGTTTCAAACTCAGTGTTTCCTAGCAGTTTAGCTTCACACGATGTGAGCTGAGAGAGGCAGACATATGCTTCTTCACCGCCGAGACCTAAATAACATATGCATCTCTGTGGCATTTCATCTCCCAGGCCCGACTTCTATCCCCCGACTTACGAAGAAAGCCTGGATGCTGAGAAACAGGCCTGCCCTGCAGGCAGAGGCCTCCTGGGATTTCCCCCTCCTCTGTATTCAGCAACAAACCTGGTCCTTGAAGATGAGGATGACCCGCGACCCGAGGCCCCACCACCCTACCAGGAGTGCATGGCAGATGCAGTGGTGCCAGCAAAGGCACAGGATGCCGAGGGACCAAGCACAGTGCCAAGGGCAGGGCCTGCTCTCCAGCCCTCTGAACTCACCAGCTGCTGAGGGGACGGACAGGCTGGCCAGGGACTGGGAAGCAGCTCTGCCGCCCTGCATTAGAGCAAGGCCACCGTGGGTTCAAGGGACTCGCGTTCAGCCTTGCCAGGGCAGTATGGGATCCTTGAGGGACATAGCTACCAGCAGGAAGCTGGTGTAGAGAATTCCCACGAAGCCCAACCCAAGGTGAACCTTAGACTGAAGAGAAAGTAGAAGGCCGGGCTCCCTTCTAACCCCGTGATCTCAACTCAAGCCTGGAGGGACCCTTGCTGTGGGTGGGGCTGCAACAGCCCTTCACATACTGTGCCAAAAGAGTCTCAAAGGGAAGAAGCCTGGGAGGCCGCATTGGAGTCACCCACTGACTGTGCTACCTGAGAGACACCATAGCTCACACATATCATGGGAGGGGCCCTAGGAACCAAGGCACGTCATTTTGTATAGTTTTATTTGAATTATCTATGTTTTCTTTCTGTGTGAAAGGGAAGAGACCGCAATATTTGCTTTCAAATGGTTCGAACACAAAGTGTAGAGTTATCTCTTAAAGAGGTTCTCATATAGACACATAGGGGTTCTTACAGATTCAAGCTGACTAGATAGAATACTTAATTTATGATCCAGGGAGTCAAGTGTGATTGATGCTAATCCACAACTTATCATAAAGCTCGAGAAGTTTAAAAAATGTTTATAGGCAGTTTTCCAATATGCCCCCCCTTCAAATTCAGAATGTCAGAGATTACAAACTGTAAGGCCATGTCTCCACTACCAAGGATGCTTTCTGTGTCTCAAGATGGAGAACTAGACTTCTAGACTTAAAAAACCCAATGGTCCCTCCTTGACTTTAATTTCTTTGGGGGAGTTTTTAAAATAAGAGAACAGGCTGGGTGGGGGGGAAATGACAGGACACACAGGCTGGGGCTTTTAAACGTGAATGAGAATATCCATCTCCCGGCCTCACGTTCTTTCTCTAACCGAGTAAGGCATCTGGGTCCAGGCTGATATCTAACAGTTATGACACGCCTTTCAAGGGGTGAGTAGGCTAGCTCTCCCATGCATGTTATTAGCCCCCACCCCATCTTTAAGAGGTGGATGCTACAACCATTCCTGTTTTAGGGATGTGTCAACCAAGGCTTTGAGTATTCAGGAAATGTAGTCAATGAAACAGTGGCCTCAAGAAAAGTGAATAACCTAAGGTCCACTAGAGGAGTTACTACCTCAGAATTTTGAGCAGGTGGGCTATTTTTTTTTCTCTTTCCGGACATAGCTTTGATTTCTTGCTCCATGTCAAAAGTGACCCCAGGAGAAAGCAGTGTTCCAGGTCACTGCTGAACTATCCACCCTTGAAGAAGCAGCTGAGGTGGCTTCTTGGTTAAAATATGCCAGACTGTTTCCTGCCTGTGAAATGGGCCCTCAGAGTGCAGTTTTCCTGACTCCTCCACAGGACAGCCACCATGATGGGCATGGAAGAAGAGCCTTTGGAAACTCACAGGGAATGATGACATCTTTCAAGAAGAGTGTCATCGAGGTGGGACTTGGTGTCCATGGTCTCCACTACTCCACTGATGCAGAGATAATACATAAGAAGTCGAAAGAGCAAAGACCTGGTCCACGAAGCACACCTTTGTGAATCGCCAAATTCACACAAAGTCCTTGACAATGAGGGAACCACTGGATAGGGAGGCCACTGATGACTGTTGAGCAGGAAGGTGACCATTTATTGACAACACAATTTGTCATTCATTTCTTGCCATCTCTTTCCATCCCCCTACCAAGCAAATTTTCCCTACTGGCTGGAATGACAAGCATTATTGGACTACTACCCAGATTTGCACACAGAATAGTTTTTCTACCACCAGGGGTCCGATGAACCCAGTGTTAAGTCTGGTTTGCAAACACTATGCTAGTCTCTGCAAGGCAATAAATTTTGTATTCTAAGTCTTTTTGTAATTTATTTTGTGGGTGTGTGTTGTACACGCACGTGTATGTGCCCAAGTGCATTGTGTGAACACGCATGGGGTAGTCGGGGCTGTTGTTGCAGATAGGCTGGCTGGCAAGTGAATTCCCAGGGATCTTTCTGGGGTTCCTGGCACAAGTAAGGATTTAAGCTGCTCCTCACACTTTCACAGCAAGCACGCTAACCCCTGAGCCACCTCTCCAGTACCTCTGACTTCCTCCTTCCTTCCTCATTTCCTCTCTCCCTCCCTCCCTTCTCTCTTTTCTTTCTTTCTTTCTTTCTTTCTTTCTTTCTTTCTTTCTTTCTTTCTTCCTTCCTTCCTTCCTTCCTTCCTTCCTTCTTTCTTTCTTTCTTTCTTTCTTTCTTTCTTTCTCTCTTCCTTTCTTTCTCTCTTTCTCTCTTTCTTTCTTCTTCCTTCCTTTGGTCACTTTTTGTATCAGAAAAAGAAATCAGTAGAGGACCCTAAGTCATAGTAGCATTTTCCACATAGAATCAAGATGAGTTTATATTCCTACGAACCCAAACACGACTGACACCAGCTGCTGCTTCAGAAAACAACCTGGTGCTTCCTTTTTTAAAAAGAATAGTAAAATCGGACATGGTGGGACACACTTGTAACTCAAGCACTTGTGAGGTAGAAGCTGGAGAATCAGTTCAGCGTTGGAAAGGAGGGAGGGAGGGGGAGAAGAAGGGAAGGAAAGAGAGGGAAAGGGAGGGAAGAAGGGAGGGAGAGAGGGAAGAAGGGAGGGAGGGAGGGAGAAAAGAGGAGAGACAAAAAAGAAAAACCAACCAGCACTAAAACAGAATCCTTGACATGTTTCTAACACAAGTACTCTGATTCAGGAGTCCAGAACCCAGGTATCACAAAAAACAATCTTTTATTTTTGAGTCTCAGCAACTTGATTCACTGGGCAACCAAACAAATGTGTCCTGATGTGTGTAGCCAATGGCACATTATTATTCCCTATGAGGTGCACTCAGGGACAGCAGTGCTGGCATCTTCCTTCTCTCTCGGGTGAGTGATAAATGAGATGTTGTTGGGTTAGGAACCGTGGTCCTGTGGATACTGAGGAGGGCATTTGGACTATGAGACAATGGAGAGAGGAAAGTCTCCATGGCAGAGGACCCTCACCATTCTTCTTCATCCCCAGTGTGAATCATAGTGCCGCCCAACTCCAGTGAACAGTTTCATGTTGTTCTTTTGATCAACAAGTTTAAATAATTGTTGCCAGCAACTAGAAGATCAGAGTGGCAAGGTCAGTATACAGTATGTGATGCTGGATCTTTGCATAGCTGAGATGGACTGGCTCTGTCTTGACCCCTCCATGCAAAACCTCACAGGTTTTTGTTTGTTTTGTTTTCGTACTGACACATCTGTTTGTCTATTGTTTTTGCTGAAGCATCATTCAAGCTCACCTACGGGGCACGGCACATGCTAGGTGCTGAAAGAAATGGAAAGAGGAGAGAGAATCATGGATTTGTTACTCCACTGTGGGCTCTCAAGCTCCATGACAACCCCGGTGACTCACACAAGAGTGAGCTGGCTATTGCAGGGGCTATTTCTGCGGGTAAAGCCTCCAGCTGGTTGAAGTAGTTGAGCAGACATTCTGCTAAGCTCTGCTGCCTCAGCTAAGCTCTTATTGTTTGTAACTGTTGATGCTCCCAACGCCGAATTACTACTCATGGGCATGGAGTCATCTTTCTGTCATTATCAGTTCCCACAAACGCTTTGTCATCCTCTACATCAGTCGTAGCTCATGGATCTGGCCACCAAAACTCCCAGGTCATGATACTATGATTCTTGCCATGGTTTAGTGTAGCCAAATCTAGCACAGGGCTGCACCAAGGATGCCAATCAATCTAAGGATTCTTGTATGAAAGCGCTCATGACCTGCAAATATGGTGGATGCATCCTGCAATTTGGAATGGAAAGATCTGATGAATGCTCTCTCTCTAAAGATGGCTGCCCTTCCATGTATGTGTACGTGCATGTGTGTACATACATGTGGAAGCCAGGGGTCAATGTCAGGTGTTCTCCACCTTAGTTTCTGAGACACCTGACCACCTGAACCATCTTCCTAACCCCCTCCTGGATGTTAAAAGTGTGATGAAGAAGTTCAAGAGTCTTAGGTGAAACAAAACAACCTTTTGTTTTGGGGGAATGGCTGACAGCTGGCAGGCAGGGTATTGAACATCCAGGTGCCCCCGCCCTTAAGTGCCTCCCTGGCATATATGCACACATATCTCCAAATCCCCCAGATGAATTGAATTAGGCACTGCTTTGGTAAAGAACTACTGTGTGTGTGTGTGTGTGTGTGTGTGTGTGTGTGTGTGTGTAGTGGTGGTGGTTTGCCACCTTCCAGAGCATATGTTGCAATGAGGGAACCTCTGAGTTCTAGAAGATCTCCAGAGCGGCCCCACTAGTTACCTCACTATAAAATAGCCTCTTGTATGATTCACTGTACTGATTCCCACAAAATTCTTGTATATCTCATGTCACTTACTCCTAATTAAAAAAAAATTGTCTGTGTGAGTGTGTGTGGGTGATGCATATGCCAGGACACACAGAAAGGCCAGAGGAAAACTGTGGAGTCAAATATCTCTTTGAACTCAAGCCGTTCAGTAGCCATGTGCAGTAAGCATCTTTACCTACTCCCCTGTCATCTCACTGACCCTCAGGTTATTTGATCTTAAAGGCTGGTTCTGGCCCTCCATCTTTAACAAGAGGAGTATCATATAGTGAGGTTTGCTAACTTTCATCCCTCATCAGAGTAACGCAAGAATTCATGTATGCAATCTTGGTTTAAAGCAGAAATAATACCCCAACAGTATAAACTTGAGAGGGCTTGGACCCAGGTCGTGTCCTAGAATCATGGAGAGACCTGCTCTTTGTTAACACAGCTGAGAAAAGATGAAAGCCATGGAGATTTTGTTCTACTTGATGCTATATCCTATGTCTGCACAAATTCCAACCATCACCAACCTCTGGCCCTCAAGGTCAGCCTCTTCTGTAAGCCTTGACTATTCTGTTCTGCTGCTTCCATTCAGCTCTGGTAAATTAAACAAACACTAATTCCCAAGACACCCTATTCTTTACGAGGTGTCTCTTGTTCCCAGTGTCCTACCATTCCAGAGTCAATTATTCTACACGTGTTTCCATAGCTCATGCTTGCACTTCTAATGCAATACTGACGCCTCCCAACAACTTGTGAATGTTGGTCACAGCCACCTCTTTCCATATAGTAAGTTCCTAAGAGCAGAGATAACTCCATACATCTTCTTGTTACATCTGAAAAAAGAATGTGCCTAGAATAGATACTCAACCGGTGTTTGCTCAATGGAAGAACAAATGGATGAATGGATGAATGAATGAATAATGAATGAGCAAATGAATTGATGGGTGACTATACATTGGGCTACTACACATACATAAAAAAGGGAACCAGACTGTTTAAGTTGAATAGCTTGAACTTAAAAATCAGTGATGATGGCCGGGCGATGGTGGCGCACGCCTTTAATCCCAGCACTCGGGAGGCAGAGGCAGGCGGATCTCTGTGAGTTCGAGACCAGCCTGGTCTACAGAGCTAGTTCCAGGACAGGCTCCAAAGCCACAGAGAAACCCTGTCTCGAAAAAACAAAACAAAACAAAACAAAACAAAACAAAAAATATCAGTGATGATATAAGTTCAGGAATTTGAGGCAAAAGTAATTGCTTACCCAGACAGAGCTGACATGCCAAAGGACTTGTCACATTGCATTGACAATGGCCACAGTGAATGAATGGATGGATGTTATCAGGGACCTTTACTCTAGAGATAGTGAGAATGACAGCTGCTACGAGGCAAACGTTTTCTATTCCTGTTCTATATTCTATAATTGTTTTTTCATAATCTCAGCTCAAAGCCATCTTCCTACTTTCTGAAATAAAGACTGTAACACTGAAAAAACTAGATGCCATTTTAATTTTTGCTGATTCCCCAAACCAATTTTAAGCCATTTGTTTTTTTCTGTCCTATTTTTAAAAATCCAACCCCCAAGTCATTAGAGTGACCCACAGTCTTCGCCAGAGCTCTGTAAGGCTGACTTACCAGTACAGGTGACCACTCCTGGAACTGCAAAGTGGCAGGGGACCCAAAGGAGCTGAAGCCCACAATCTTGTATGGAGGTTAAAATAATGAAGTTCGGTTTTATTGACTACTAAATGTCCTAGCCAGTTTTTCCACAGAAGCACAGAGAGAAAATGGAAACAAACACCTTTCTGGGAATGTTTCCTTGCCGCACTGACCTTGACGGCAGCAACTGCGCCAGGCTTAACAGCCAAAGGGCACTAGGTCATCTCC